TAATGATTCATAGATACATTTTATTCATTAGCATGCCCATGCCCATATTACTAGTTTGCTAAACGAAACATGTGTCAGAACATAATTCACTTCTATCTTCATTGAATAACAACTTTATTTGCTAAAAACGGAATAAAAATTGCACATGAGGTTTTTCATATTGTAATAATAAAATTATTGCATTAAAATAACAAAAACTTAAACATTGCTGCATGGAAAACATAATAAAACAGAAAAACAGTATAAATAAAAACAAACCCTAGTAAAATGAAGACTACGACTATACACTTCGTGTAGCCCGAACTACAGTATTTAGTAGTCATCTACGAGTTTTCTCGTAGTCACCGTAGCGTTTTAGGCTCGTAGCGCATCGTTTATTTGCTTGTGAGCCCAAACAAGCATGTCGTTTGAAATAAATATCATTGTATCTTTTTTCAAAATATATTTAATGCATTATCATGGATTTTTGATACATTTTACAAAAAAAAAATTACACAATGAAAAATAAAGCGTGGATATAATTTTAAGTCCACATGCGAATACTCGAATATGCATTATAATTATGTAATATGATCCTCTATTTATAATTGTGGTATATAATAGACAAATATTTCTCTTTCGTGGACGTCGTTCGAACATTGGCTTTAAGGAATTATTTCATAAGAATCATAATGAGAACATTGTCGATTTAATGAAAAAATATGAAAAATAACTATGGAGAGTGTTTTTTATGCAAGACAAAGCAGGTATCTAACCGCAATCGCACCTTATGTTATGTGAGATGCAGTCTAGGATGGTACATACCTTCTCTGTAAGTCTATTATGTGAATATTATTGGATCTTTTTTTGTTATCTTCTAGAAAAAATGCTTTAAGGTAATTTCAAACTGTATCCTTCGATTACTTAACTCCAATGAACTACATTTTACCATATTTCATTTCTGATCCATCCAACTAAAATGTGTCACCAGTGCATATTGTTCTGGCGTTTCTTCTCAGCACTTGCCATAATTATGTTTGTCTCGAAGCGCTGCACTGGTAGGGCCCAAAAGATAAGGTAGCATGTAAAGTGCCCCTTAAGGGCTACTTTTACTGTATATTGACGTTCATAAGTGCCACTAGTGGTCAAAATTTAATATAATATTTTTGACTTTGATTTCATAGCATTTTGATCCTTATTATCATAATTCANTTGCTAAACGAAACATGTGTTAGAACATAATTCACTTCTATCTTCATTGAATAACAACTTTATTTGCTAAAAACAGAATAAAAATTGCACATTAGGTTTTTCATATTGTAACAATAAAATTATTGCATTAAAATAACAAAAACTTAAACATTGCTGCATGGAAAACATAATAAAACAGAAAAACTGTATAAATAAAAACAAACCCTAGTAAAATTAAGACTACGACTCTTCGTGTAGTCCGAACTACAGTATTTCGTAGTCATATACGAGTTTTCTCGTAGTCGCCGTAGCGTTGTAGGCTCGTAGCGCATCGTTTATTTGCTTGTGAGCCCAAACAAGAATGTAGTTTGAAATAAATATCATTGTATCTTTTTTCAAAATATAATATTTAATGCTCTATCATGGATATTCGATACATTTTATAAAAAAAAAAATTACACAATAAAAAATAAAGCGTGGATATTAATTTAAGTCCACATGCTACAAATACTCGAATATGTATTACAATTATGTTATATGATCCTCTATTTATAATTGTGGTATATAATAGACAAATATTTCTCTTTCGTGGACGTCGTTCGAACATTGACTTCAAGGAATTATTTCACAAGATTCATAATGAGAGCATTGTCGATTCAATGAAAAAAATATCAAAAATGACTACGGAGAGTATTTTTCACGCAAAACAAGGCCGGTATTTGACCGCAATCGCACCTTATGTTAAGTGCCTGTGCTGTACTGCCCTGTAACTGTAAGTGCCTATTATGTAAACATTATTAAGAATCTTTTTTTGTTATCTTCTAAAAAAATTCATACTATATTTCGATTGCTTTACCCCAATCAATAAAATACTACACTTTACCATATTTCATTTCTGATCCATCCAACTAAAATGTGTCACCAGTGCATATTGTTCTGGCGTTTCTTCTCAGCACTTTCCATATGTTTGTCTCGAAGCGCTGCCGCACTGGTAGGGCCCGAAAGATAAGGTAGCATGTAAAGTGCCCCTTAAGGGCATCATTTTTTAACTGTATATTGAAATTCATAAGTGCCACTAGTGGTCAAAATTGAATAGAATATTTTTGACTTTAATTTCATGGCATTTTGATCCTTATTATCATAATTCGTCGAAGCCAAATCGTCGACTGTCCCACGACTAACTACAGTTTTGGTGTTGATCCTTCTGCGGGCCTGGACGGACTGAATGTCCTCAGGAACTCTAACCTAGGTTATATAAATTAATTTACATATTAAGTACTTATTTTAAAGTCAGTGTGGTTGGTTGAGAATAGGGCTGTTTTATAAAAGTGTTTAAAACGTGGACTTATAAGACTGATGCCCGTTTTCACCATCAATCCCTAATTTTTAAGTGATCCCTATGAAAACAAAATTTCTGTTACGTGTTACCATAGGGGTCACTTAAAAATTAGGGATTGATGGTGATCCCTATGAAAACAAAATTTCTGTTACGTGTTACCATAGGGGTCACTTAAAAATTTGGGATTGATGGTGAAAACGGGCATGACCCTTTTGTAACTAGGCCAAAAATAAAATTTACTGGAAGAACGAATACGGAGAGTTTAACCTACAATCCCTACGGTAATAAGACGGGTTGGGCAGGTCTGATGCTCTCATAATATTTAGTCATTTAGTCGTTTTTTACGACAATTATGGGAAGATGATGATAATACTGACATCCTTTATAATTACTTCCATTTATAAGTTCATATTATGTCTGTCTGGTCTAGTGTTTGTTTTACTGATCCAACCTACATATTCTGAGGGATACACGATGTTGTGCTACAAAGAGCACGTTATGATATCCCACAAAGTCGTACATACCAAAATAAAGTAATTAGAGTGGAAAAATACCACGACAAATAAGTTCCATCAGAAAGTAATTTGATTGAAACATAAATGAGATTGGTTTATACCAATAATATTACATCATTAATCATTATAAATCACTAACTCATTTGGTTATCGAAGACCGTCTACAACTAAGAAGCCCTACAATCAACCAATCACACCGCCCACACAAAGATATAGACCAAGAGCTAGTGAACGCCAGACCTACGATAGTTTATAAAGGCTGAAAGTTTGTCAGCGCATGCTCCCAACATAGCTAAGAACCATGGCCAAACATGAAGTTTGGGTCATCGTGGCTTACAGAAATAGATATAATAACGTAAGTGTGGCGTTCACTAGCTCTTAGTCTAATTTAAAAAAGCTATTTCGCTTTCCACTCAAAAATTAAATTCCTTTTGCATCGACTTCTTTATGTACAGCTTACACTTACTTGGTTCTACGCGTCCATTTATCTATTTATGTACAGTAATTAACTTCTATTTACGACATTTAGGCCCGTATTATGAAACAACGTTTAGCGAAAGACTGCTATCCAGGGTGTCGCTTTAAGTATGGATCAAACGAAAAGGACTGATTCTACGGCTCAAATGCAACAACTTTTCTACTTATAAAATATCTAAATTCCCAAAAAAATTACCTAGTTTTAGTGTTGAGTCAATTGCGAGAGAGTGAGAAGAGCAAATATTTATGTGTCGCATGCTAGTGTTGTAGTTGAAAAATAAGACTTACAGTTTTATGCGACTGATAAAACGTAGTCATTATTTTCGTGCTCTTTTTTTCTTAGATTTATAGTAACTTTTGTGACTGACACTCGTCGCTTATATTCTGTACAGGTATGTCTATTATTATTTTTTTGAATGCTACCATTTACATTACATGAATCTATGCTTGAGATTCAACTAATCTTCGTTTCAGAATACGGGCCATAGCATAGTCGTGAATTTGGTAAATGAGTTTCTTATTATAATTTTAACTAGATTATCTCCAATACTGAGAATCAAATTGAATTCTAAGAATTCTATTTCACAAATATTTACTTTCATCTAGCATCAATTCTATCCCAATTATAAGTTACGAAATAAATCGTGTCCTATCTTAAATGTAAATATATCACTTTTATTTATAAAATACAACTTCGGTTCTTCCATGACTATTGTACCTAATAATTTATTCAAAAATGTTTTACTAAAATAACAATGTTTTTTCGCGTGATTTTAGTAAACAAAAAAAAAACCCAAAAAAATCTAAAGCATACTTTTTTCTTTGGTAGGCACTTTGGTATCGTTAACTAAAAGTTAAAGAAAAGAGTGCCAAGAAAAATTTAGATGTATTTAGTAGTCAGTAAAAATATAAGATAATGCCTTAGACGCTAAACTTGAAGTTACGTTAGTAAAAGTTAGAAAAATTACAGTAAAGTAGGTACCACTTAGAGTAACATTTATTACAATTCGTCCTTACAGATAGGCGATTGTTTTAGAAAAAATCGATCGAAAAGTCGATTAAACAATCGATCATTGTGAATCGCTGCTAGCGTTGCGCGTAACAATTGGACACATTATTGAATCATTAGCGTTAATTTAAAATATTATTATCGGAATTAAAAAATAAAACGAATTATTATTTTCTAGAAAGAATCGCCTATCGTAATATTCTTAATAATTTGACATCTATTTGAAGTTGAAAAAGGAACACACTTTTAGCCGGATCACATAATACGAGTACGTTTACCTACGAGTATCATCTGTAATAACCATTCAAACATTATGAAAAATCGTATAGTAATTATGTCATGAATTCAATGATATAGACAATAATATTAAAGTCTTAAATATTTAAGCACTGGGAATAATAGATACGATTTTGGAACGAAAATGTCTATCTATTTGGTAACAAAAGTTATGTGTTAAAAATGCTATTGGCATGAAAAATATGGACCGTTAGTAAACTGTTACTTACTTTATACTTCGAAAGAGATCCGGCTAAATCTGCGAAGTCTTAATACCTGTAGAAGAGTAGTCTATATGTACGTACTAAGAGCTTGTCTGAAGTCGTGTAGAGCGGCCAAGAGTTGAGGAGCGGTCGGTCTGGAAGTCGGCGATGATGTCCAGCACCAGGACATGAGGCCGTACCTTTGGAGAAAGAATATTACTTAGTGATCCATATTTTTATACGTTTTATTTCTAAAATAAGTAGCTCCATATTGTGGGAAATTTTAAACATAATATTACCTACTACAGTCTGAGTCTTTGGATACAAAAATGTAGGAGAAAGTAATCGGGTTTATCTTCATACCAAACGCATTCAGTCGAGAAAAGGTATAAATATGTGTATAGCAGATCATATAATTTCTTAACAAAAAATATTTATATTACTCGTTATAGATTCGATTCATGATTTATTCGCTATCTGACAATATTACATCTACACGGATATCGTACACAAATGTGACATTATACCTATACACAATTAGTTCGTTAGCCTAATTGGTAGCCATTTATTTTGGAAAATAGTTAATTTGGCAGCCAAAACGTCGCATAAACTCTTTCCGTTTTCCTAAACTTTTAAGTACTCACAGTTCATCAGGGCAGTTGTGCGGCTGTGAAGGCCTGTATCCTCCACTGAGGAAGGCTCCTACATCAGCTGCGTCGAGCTCTGCTAACGGAGCAGCGCCGAGCGTCGCCAACTCCCAGAGAGTGATACCCAGCGACCACTGGGAGAAAAACATTGGGTGTCATGATGGTCTTCTTCTAGCTAGAGTGTATTCTACCAAATATTTTTGCACGGGTTTTTCCCGGTTTATGGATTGAGATTTTTTAGCTTAGAATCAAAATCTAACTAAAAATCAACAAAATTTAGAAACCCAGCCATAGTCAGAAAAACGAGACATGGGCACCTAGGACTTAGATGGTCACATCACACGTTTCAGTTTCACGTAGATTCTAACTGAATATACGTCATGTGTTATGAGGATTTTAATTTCTACCCAGCATCATAATATCACCTATGCATCTTTGTCCGTTATCCAGTTACTGTGTTTAGTTCGACATGGTGTAATAATTAGATTTTAAAACATTACATAGTCGATGACGGCCATTCTTTGTTCGCTATATTGACTTCCATCAAAATTCCGTGATGTAAATAGACACGAAAAGTAAAAAATGCTGTTACTGGAGGCGATGGCATGAGGCGTGAGAAAACTTTATTTAATCGTGAATATTCTTGGGCGTAGTCACTCGTTACACATTCAGCGATATCTCCACTTACCACATCAGTAGCTGTGCTGTACTGGTTCTGAAGCAGCGCCTCCGGAGCCATCCACTTGACCGGCCTGTTCTCGTTGTCGCCCAAGCAGTGGTAGTCGTCCGGGAACAAGTCCCGCGACAGACCGTTGTCAGTCACTTTCAGTCTCAATTTCTCGTCGACTCTGACAAGGAAAGTGACAGATGTTCATCCCAATAAATGCAATCCCACTAAAAACATTCTGTAAAAAACTANGACTGAACAAATATTAAAGTCTTAAATATTTAAGCACTGGGAATAATAGATACGATTTTGGAACGAAAATGTCTATCTATTTGGTAACAAAAGGTATGTTGAGAAATACTACGTATTGAATGAAAATATATGGACCGTTAGTAAACTGTTACTTACTTTATACTTCGAAAGAGATCCGGCTAAATCTGCGAATTTATTACCTGTAGAAGAGTAGTCTATATGTACGTACTAAGAGCTTGTCTGAAGTCGTGTAGAGCAGCCAAGAGTTGAGGAGCGGTGGGCCTGGACGTTGGTGATGATGTCCAGCACCAGGACATGAGGCCATACCTTCGAAATAGATTATTATTTTTATCAGCTTTTGTAGAAATTTAAGAAAAATCTATAGGAGCGTCCACACGCTCGATATCCAGCTCACCCTGTTCTTGAGTGAGTTCTAGATGTTAAGCGTGCCTTGCGAGCCCAAGCGCCCGGTATGCGAATATTCCTATAACTGTTATGTACTTAAAAGTCATCATCATCATCATCATTTCAGCCTCAAGACGTCCACTGCTGAACATAGGCCTCTCCCAATGACTTCCACATCGCACGGTTAGTAGCGGCCTGCAACGCCTTCCTGCCTTCTTGCTTCCTGCTTCCTTTATCAGGTCTTCGGTCCACCTTGTGGGTGTAGTACTTAAATGTATCTTCAAAAATTTGGTAACTAATTTGGAAGCGCGTCTTTACACCAAACCACACTCAATTACCTAAACTCTTAGGTACTCACAGTTCATCAGGGCAGTTGTGCGGCTGAGAGGGCCTGTATCCTCCACTGAGGAAGGCCCCAACGTCAGCCGCGTCAAGCTCAGCTAACGGGGCAGCGCCGAGCGTCGCCAACTCCCAGAGAGTGATACCCAGCGACCACTGGGAGAAAAATATTGGGTTTCATGATGGTCTTCTTCTCACTCTGTATTCTACCAAATATTTGTATAATGTTTGGCCTGCGCTTTTGCATAAAATATGTAGTGTCGTCATAGGCCTAGGGCCTAGAGATTTGAGCGTCAAATCAAAATCAAGCTAAAATTTCAGTAACTGCGGGCTATAGACAGAAACGTGACCATCTAGGATGTAAATAGTCACGTCTCACGTTATGTCTAGATTCTAGGTGAATACGTCAAGTGTCATGAAGATAATGAATTACTTTAGATACAGTGAATTCTATCGGGAATTTCGAGCCAGCATTATTTACCTTGAATTACTAATTGTTACACCATGTCTACTAAACACAGTTGTACCTATTGTATTTTTTTTACATTAAATTGTTATTTTACGTTCATTATATTTTCACTATAATGATTGCTCACAAAAACATGTAATGTAACAATACCATTCCTGAAAATTGAAGACGATCGAATGAAGAACAAAAAAAAAACTTAATAAAATGAATCCTGAAAAATGTTAAGGCAGGTAAACATTTCCACTTACCACATCAGTAGCTGTGCTGTACTGGTTCTGCAGCAGCGCCTCCGGAGCCATCCACTTGACCGGCCTGTTCTCGTTGTCGCCCAAGCAGTGGTAGTCGTCCGGGAACAAGTCCCGAGACAAACCGTTGTCAGTCACTTTCAGTCTCAATTTCTCGTCGACTCTGACAAGGAAAGTGACAGATGTTCATCCCAATAAATGCAATGCACAGTTGCATCAAGTCACTGTCGCTTATATTTTTTTGGTCAAAATTACACACATTTTTTAATATGGGCCCTATTGGGCCCTACAGTTGTGAATGCACTGATTAATTAAATGGACTTTATTTAACCCTTGGTGCCAGATGATAATAACTTTGATTTATTCACTTTAAACAGAACTTAGAAAGAGCTACCAACCCATATGTTATGTATCTCAACTTAGTCAATGGACTGAGCCCCAACAGGGAAATTTGTATCAGGCTCCATAGATACTCGTACATCTTTATCAGTTAAGTTGCACTGTCACGAAATTAAAACCCTGTTTTTAGCAATTCTTTAATAAGCACGACAGTGAGGGACTGACCATTTGTATCTCAAAAGCACATAGAGTTTGCTCATGCAACCTTTTATGCATATACCTGACCTGGTAAAACATACTTACACGCAATTCCTAGCCGCGACGTCGGCGTGTATGAACCGCTGCACATGCAGGTACGCCAGGCCACACGCCGCTTGCGCACCCAAGTCCACCAGTTCTCTTGTGGCCGGAGCGGCCTGCTGCCCTAACCGACATGATGTGAGGAACCTGTTTGGGATGAAGAAAAGTGGGTTGGTTTTTGGAGTACGAGCTGCTGTCAGTTTGTGCTTGCTGTTTCTGCGGGCAGATTACTGCATAATATTTCTTGACTTCAACTGCTGGTGCCAGGTGATGATGTGTTATTAGTACAGGACCCAAATTAGAAGCGTCCTTACAAGTATGCGATTATTTGGAAAAAACTAGGGAGAAATGTTGCAAGAAAAATTATAATGTGAATGGAACAAGAAAGTAAATCATAATTTCTAGAGCCTTAAATTGTTATAAAACAGGCTAATTTCGAATAATTTAAAGTTAATTTATTTGCACAGTTTAGTAATGACGTAGGTACCTTGACCGTACCGTTTTAGGCTACAAACAACGCTGCTTGCATTGCTGATGGTACTCACCTCTTAAGATTAGAAGAATGTGAAGCACAGCAGTAGACTAGCAGCGGTCGTCTGGCTTCCTCAGCACACGCTGCCATGGGCGACAGTACGTTAGCATGAGCCAGCCCATACAGCCTCAGGCCCTCGGCTACGAGCAACGCCGCTTGCATCGCTGATGCTGCATCTGTTTCACAAGCATATTCTTCTTGAAAAATGTAGTGTATAGTTTCTTTTTTTATGCAAAACAAGGTATTTGAAGTTGAGTGAGATGCATTCTAGTATGGTACATATCTGCCGTGTGCCTATTTACTCTCGCCTTGAAAAGGTCCGGATTAAAGTGTTCGGGTATAGTGGTCAACTGGTCAACAGGCAGCAAATTCCAATCCCTAGCTTTCGCATTAAAAAAGAGTTATCGAATCGCTTAGTGTGGGTTGGTGGAATATCGACAATGTAGGGATGATACGCTAACCTGCATCTGGTTCCACGGTATAATTTACACCTAAGTTTTCTTTATGTCATTTGGTAATTAAGTATCATCATGATGATGATGATAATGAACTAAGTATCACTTACCTGAAACAGTCTTGACAATAACTTCTTCATACGTCTCTCCCTTCTTGAAGACTCCCTTGTAAACCCTCCCAAAAGTTCCTTCGTGTATGAGAATCTCCAAACGAATGTTGGACCGGACTGTGGTCAGGAGTCGAAGCTGCTCCGCTGGGTCCGTGACGCGGTCTTTGGCCACCGTTTGCTAGAACAAAGATTTTGAAATGACCATTCATCTTCATGACATACTAGACCCGTCGAACGTTCTCGAACGCAAGGGTTTCAGAGCGATTAATTACATATCTGGCGATCAAAAATGGGTTCTAAATATTACGCTTGGTAGAATCTATATATAGGATCTAGAGATCACTGAAGCGATGATTTACGCGAAAGTTAGTGAGAATTCTTCTTTGCTCTTTCAAGTGAATTCTACTAGACAGATTTGGCAATGGCTTATTAATATTATCTATTACAATTTGAGCCCATCCATATTACGTAAATATACGAGTAGTACCTAACTACACTTTAGCCATTAACAGTAAGTTAAATATTAAAAAGCCAAAGCTGCACTGCATCTTCCAACTTAATGCCAGTAAAGTAAATCCGTAAGCAAATTGCCTTTAAAATTTACCGGCGCATTTCAAGATTTAACATCCTTTCTGTCCAAACAAACCTATAAATTAGAAAACCGGTACAGTTTAATGCTTCAGCAGTTTTAGTAGTAATTTCTGGACCGCTATATTCCACTCAGCAGGGGCTCTAAAACTGGTGTATTATCCAAGTTTTAGTATACACTTCCAGGTGCAAACCACAACATTTCAGACCACACTTTCCTTTGCAATATCGTACTTATTCCAACTCCATAAGGCGCTACAGCTTGAAGTGCCCTCGTCTGAACAATACAGGTTCATCTTAGCAGTTCTGTGCAGCTCACCTGCGTTGGATAGATAATTAAGCCACCAGCTAAGTGAGAGCGCTAGTATCGCAAATCGGGTTAAGAGCAACTGCATACGTAATGCATTTTGGTATTCATGATGTCTTGTCCCACTCCAAATTATATTATCTTATGTACATACGTATAGAATAATGCAGCTGACCGTAAGATTCTGCTGGACGAAATTGGTACTAATTGTTATTGCATATAGAGCTAGCTTCAGCCATCAGCTTTGTAATCCTAGATTTTGGTTACCTATTCTAATACAAAAAAACTTCAAATCGTCAAATAGCAAAAACATGAAATATTATGTATAATCATTACCCTGATAACTTACGCCCGTATTCACAAACATTACTATGAGGTCTCACAGTGCGCGTGGACGCATAGAGTGACATACGAACGAATCACAGAGCTCTATTCAACGCTGTGCGTTCGATTTGCTGCTTAATTTCACGTTTGTGAATACGTGCGTTAATATCGTTCTCCGGTCTTTAAACAATACATTTTTTCAGGGCTTAGAAATTATTAAACATAATTTTTATTCTCGCGCTTCTTATTTATATTTTAAATTGTACAGTCACAAAATGTATTTGTTACATAACGTGCTGGTAATTAAATATCACAGCAACAAACCCCACCTTATAAAATCCATGCTACACACTTAATGAGAGACTTAAATGGCACATTTACCTTACACATTACGTAGGTTTATTTACATTTGCTATGTTCGTTAGCACCCTCCCTTTCAAAGAAGACTAATTCATAATTTCTCCCAAGAATTTCAGCCAAATTTATGTACAAAAGAGGGTTGCAAATTAAAAATGTACTCCACCCACGGCGCTCATAATTACGTAGATAAATTGACTGGAATGGACAATAATGGGTGAAAATGTTTCTACTGGTGGTGGTGTCCTGAACCATGGAATCTTAGTTAGTACCAACGAGTACGAGTTATTTTCAAGTAATTTTTAACTGCAATACAAGCAGATAATAAATATATTCTAATAGCACGCGACTTCGTTCATTCGTTCGTTTGTTTCAGCCAAATGACGTCCACTGCTGGACAAAGGCCTCCTCCAAGGTTTTCCACGCGACTTCATAAGCGTAAAAATTGGTTCTCGTTTTTGCAACATTTTTCTTTACTGCTCCAACGCTATTAACTGTAGGGCGATTTTATATAGCCTAAGGCCTTCCTCGATAAACGGGCTATCCAACACAAAAATATTTTTTCAAATCGGACCAGTAGCTCCTGAAATAGGTATGTCAGTGCATGTCACTTTATAGAAAAATAATTTAAAATTCAGAATTTTAATGAAATAGACTATTATGCCTTCACGCAGGTAGAGTCGTTTGTTACTCTGTTCTAAGTTAGGTCACTTTCACCCACATCAATTTGAACTTTATGCTATGAAGATACGGTTGAAAACCAATGACGTTTTTGAGCGTGGGGGTTACGTTCCTCGGCTTATCCAGCAGATCTTATTCCAAGTCAAACCAATATCTTGGAGCGAGTAGATCGCTAATCTCGTTGCGTTTGTATCACCTGCAGGGGTCGGGTAACTCGTTTTAAATTGGACCCGTAATGACGTAAAGGACCCATTCTATGCACAATTCAGTTACAAGGCGAAGAATGTTAGACGTTAATGAGAATTTTAGGGACTGGCGTTGTTTTCAGTGTTGATGAAGGTTTGTCTTGAAAAATTGATAAGACTTTGATGAATTTGATTTAGACTTACTTAAACATATTTTTATAAATTAAAATTAAATGATTTGTTTTTTTAGCAACTTGTATTATCAGATAGGCCGTCAAATCATACAAAGTGTAACGATAGAACTAAAGAATAAAGCATTTAAATTTCTATGTAACGTAACTGTTAGCGACGCGTTCATAGTATTATTTTTAAGTGTTTATTTGTATTGTTTCTCAGTGCATTCATTGCTTAAATCCATATCACGCAAATATATGTGAAACTGCGGTAGTTATAAGTTTGTTTTTATTAAATATTGGAGGGTATTTAGTGGCCCTATTTCTGCCTGTCATAAGCGACAGTTGAGAATAAACCATCAGTTCAAACCGATCCACGAGCGGCACCGATTTCATACAAACGTTCGTTTTTCTCCGTTTTGCACGAGCGAATTGAAAGAAAAATTTCTTTCAAATGGTACAATGTACGACGTTTAGTTCGTGACACACACTAACACATTTCATAGAGCGGCTCGTTGTTCTGTTACAAGTAAATGCTCTAGTCTATACTCACCTTCAGGTGTTTCTTCACAAGTTGTCTCATTGTGGTATTTTTGAAAATTCCTTACTCGTGGAGTGGTTTCGTCAAGCTGATTGACGGTGTACCGTAAGACCAAAGAGATTGAGTTCACATTGGCGTCGCCGCAAATCATTTTGTTACAGAACCGCATTACATTGGGATCCGTACGCTTTGCGGATTGTTCAACCAAAGATGAACGGAAACCGCGTAATTCCACGCGATTTATCTAACTGGATGGTCCAAGTTTTAGGAAAAATAAAATGTATACTAAAATAACCTCCTCTTTTTTTAATTCGGGGTTAATGACGACAAAGCAGACTGATAGCAGACTAAAGTCTCTGGTGTGTATCTGAATTTCCAGTTCAAACGAAAACTATATGTAATTATTTATAAACTAAGTAGAGTTTTAGTTTTCTACACTCAGTAGTATAAAATACCATTGATTAGTTAGCCTGGGCAATATTTTTGTGTAAATTTTTCTCTGTTAACTTTCGTATTATTAACATCAATTAATGAGAAATTAAATCAACAACAATTCGTAGTTGAGACAAGAATAAAAAAAGCTTGTAATTAAGAACAAACAATGTAATACTTAATCATAATTATATTTCTATTTTTTTATTATGTGCACATTATCATAGCAATATAACATGGTCATTTTACTGGTTGAAACATCACAAGAACGCACAATCTCAGAACTCCGACCATCCCCCATTTGTATCAACACAATAAACCAAGGTATACTCCAACACGCGTAATTTATGGCCTACCCAGTGACTCGCACCGTTACTTAGCTACTGCTACTATACAGTGTGAGTCTTGATAAAGTGCACATATGGAAATAAGTGAAACCTACCTATTTTTATCGATAAAAAAAGGTCAAAAAGTTTCTGAGATTTAAAAAAAAAATTTTATTCTTTCAATTACTTATTGTAAAGAAAACGTAAAAACTTTTAAACTTAGAGGTAGGTATATCCTGATAAAACAACAGTAATAATGCTAAATAACAAACGATACTAAAAAAATTATAATAAAAATAAACTTTTTTAAAAACAAGCTTTTATTCTGAATTTCGAAAATTTGTATCGCGCATGGAATTTATTCCTCTTTTTCTCTGTTTGCGCTACAAGCTTTGGAAATTCAGAATAAAAGCTTGTTTTTAAAAAAGTTTATTTTTATTATAATTTTATTTTACACTTTTTAGTTATATCTTAATCTCAGGACCCTGGACATTATCTAACACTAAAGTGCTCGAAAAGACAAATCCAACGAACCCAAACTCGATGAGTTTCCGCCGTTTTGTTTAGGAGTTCCTATGGCCACCTCCCGACTCCATCATCAGACCAGCTCAATGGTACCATAATATTGCATTGTCATCGTACTTACATAAGTATACCAAATTTCAGCTCAATCGGTTGAGGAGAACTGGTCTTAAATTCAGTTGCAAGATTTGTCCCACACATACTAACAAGTGAAGTCAATATAAAGCTTGTAATAAAAATACATAAAATACTCAGAAAAAGGCAACAAATAATAAAAAATTATACATTTTGAGAAAAATCTGCATTTTAATTCGTGTTTCTTTTGGTTATTTGATAAACTCCAAATAATGCCCCCATAACATGTGGTTTTTATTACTTTGTGTTAATCTATCGTATTACCTTTTTAAAACCAAAAATCCCATGTCTCTATATAGGTCTAGTTTCACGTATTTTCATATGTGCACTTTATCAAGACTCACACTGTATAGTGCCAGAACCTAAGACTATAAGCCGAAAGTACTTACGATTGCGGGCACTAGATCTGCAGCAATTAGAGGACAATAAATTGGGATAATGTCTAGCCAGACAGACTTGCTTAAGGGTCAATTGATGGAGATACATGGGGGAGCATTTTTTGTGAGGAAAGCCTGGGGATTAGCCGATTTGTGACTGGCAACCACGTTGAGTTAAGTTTATCAGGTTCATTTGTAACTTTAGGGGTAATTTCGCTTGTACAGTATTTGTGTTTCAAGTTTATAATGCAACATGTATACAATCATTTTAAGATAACTTCAATAAAACACGTGTCATCTTAAGTTTCTATACCTTATCAAAATGACAAATTTTAAATCCAAATCCAAAGTTAAAATAAAGTCACCTGAAAGTGTCCATGAAAATTCGTCGTATTTTAATACGGTCGCTTAAACAAAATAAGCCAAATGTAACTAACTACTGCCAGTTATACATACTCCTAGCTATACATAGTTATACATATCAGAATACAGAAAACAAGTCAAAACCATTACTTTTACAAGTAATACAATTTGTACTCACCGTTGAAACATGCGTGAGATTAGAAGCAGCGTAATAAGAGACCCGTGACTCGGGCTTGGCGTAGATGTGTTCTCCTATGTGCGTGGTCGCATACGGCGACGGGGATCTTCGACTACCTGTTTCGGAAAAAAAATTGTTACTATCAGAAACTGTTGCCAAGTAATTTTGAAAGTAGAGCAACATGGTTTTACTTATGTTTATTAACGTTTTAAAGGTTCATGGTGCCTTTGGCGCCATGACAAAGAGAGCCGTATTTGTATCACTACGCAAATTTTAGACCACTACGACATTTCCACCTTTACTTTGTCGCTATGTGACGTTTGACTTTTGAATTAGGTCGGAGTAAGCTAGGCAGGAAGAAGTTAAGATTTTAGTAGTTTCCACTCCATCTCGTGGTCTTCTGCGGTCTATTAATTTACAGAGATATATTCTACCGATTGAATCGCCGCATCCTCTCAATTTTTATGGCCTATCTACAGAGTTTGCTAGATGTTTGTAAGCTATCGTAAAATGACAAATACGCGTCTAAAGTTACACCTCCTGACGTAATTTTCATGGCGCCTTTTGTTTAGTAGCTTATAAATACAAGTTCATCAGTGAACTTACTAAAAGTGTTGTGCAGGCTGGCGATGGTTGCATAAAACCAGCCTCTTTCTAAGTGATATTCATGGTGTTTATTGTTTACTCACATGTTTAAACGCATCAGTGGACTTACCAAAAGGGAACTTGTGTAGGCTGGCGATTGTGGCGTAGGATCCGGTGGAGCTGGGCGGGCGGCCGAGGGTGTCTAGGCGGAGGAGAACGTTCTGGTGGCTGCCGTACGCTGCTGTTGTGTACGATGTGCTAGGGACAAGAGATTTTTATTTAGATATAATTAGATTTAAATACAGGGTGTTAGGTATTATAATTACCAGCTATAGGTATTGTAATTATGTCTTGTATTTTATGACAGTCTGAATCTGTACTTTGAAATTGACAAATAATTAATTACCTACATGTTTTATCTTATCGTAGGTATCGTTTGCCGTGTCTACGGACGACAGCATACCAAGATAGGCAATAGGCATTGCGGCACTTTTGTGATTATACATATACAAATGGTGCTATTTAGCAGTTAAAATGTACCCATGCCATACATAATGTTACATCAAGTAATTTATAATTTTAAATATTATGTATACAGTGTGTCCGGGCATGTAGTGATCAAACTTTAAGAGCGTAATCTATGGACAATTTTATCGATGAAAATACTTCAAATTTGGGGCCTGACCCATTTCTCGAAAAATTACATCGATTTAAGTTTTTAATTTTTAGTTTACACCTCTTCTTTAAAAAACAAGTGAAAGCGTGGGTAGCTTAACATTAATAGGCAAATATTTTATATCATGCGATAGCCAATAAAATTATCTATTAGTAGAAGAAGAAAGCAGACACAAGTTTCATACATTTTATGGGAGTAAGAATGGATTTAATTAGAAAAATACATTACTTTTTTCACTTTTTTTTCAGTTATTTTCCAACACAAGAAAAACCAGGTCGTTAAGGTATGTTTTATTTGCATTGTATTTTTAGTATTTGAGCTATTCGACAAAACGAATGTAAATTTATTAGTCTACGTCTATTACTTTCGACGTAATTGTTGAACAAAGATACCCCTTCCCAGCGGTTTCCATAGTAATCGGAATAGGTTGTGTGACTCTTTCAGGCAGTGCATTTTCGCATGTCGCGTGCGCTATGGAAACCGCAGGGAAGGGGTATCTTTGTTTAACAATTACGTCGAAATTAATAGACGTAGAGTAATAAATTTACATTCGTTTTGTAGAATAGCTCAAATACTAATTATACAATGCAAATAAAACATACCTTAACGACCTGGTTTTTCTTGTGTTGGAAAATAACTGAAATAGAAGTGAAAAAAGTAATGTATTTTTCTAATTAAATCCATTCTTACTCCCATAAAATGTATGAAACTTGTGTCTGCTTTCTTCTTCTACTAATAGATAATTTTATTGGCTATCGCATGATATAAAATATTTGCCTATTAATGTTAAGCTACCCATGCTTTCACTTGTTTTTTAAAGAAGAGGTGTAAACTAAAAATTAAAAACTTAAATCGATGTAATTTTTCGAGAAATGGGTCAGGCCCCAAATTTGAAGTATTTTCATCGATAAAATTGTCCATAGATTACGCCCTTAAAGTTTGATCACTACGTGCCCGGACACACTGTATAATTTTTATGTCCATTACTTATCTAGAACCTGAGATAAAGCTTGTATTCATTATTATTTGTTTTATTTTATTATTTATTTAAGTTAATTACAAAGTGTTGTGAGAATGTTTTATGTATACTAACTTGTATTTAACAAAGGTAATGAGAAAGTCGTTGCACTTGACAAAGTGATAATAAACAAACGACAAACGCTTTTAAAAAGCTAATTTAATGAAACAACTACAACAGCTTGCGATGACAACTTGAAACGAGCACAAAGATAAGCTATTCAGTAGTGTCAGCGGAATATAAAACGTTTTTCTTGTTCGTAGATATAACCTTTAAGTTCTGATCATCCATCAAGCATGTCAGAAAGGGTTCTCGCCCTACTCGTTTTCCACTTTGGGTTTGAGTTATAAGCTTTGAGAGTGCGAAAGTATAACACTAAGTATACTTAACCCTTGAGGCCTACGATCGATTTCCAATTTGCTGGAAATTGGAAATCGATCGTAGGCACGACCAAAAGTTTTTCAAAAAGGTCAAACGATTTTTTTCTGTCCCAAAGGTCTGGCAGGGAATGCCCAATGGAATTTAGTTCGCCTTATGTACCAATTATGTGAAATTAAATAATTTTAGATTGAAAAGGAATGCAGGTTAAATAGGTAATTAAGTCGACAGTTGATAAAATGTGCTTTAGAAACTCTACCTTCAGGCTAAAATTGACTTCTCTCACCGTGCAAGCAAAATTATTTTAATGTTGTAAATAAATATTCTCAAATCAATTGGAAAGAATCTCCCGTCAAGTCCCGTCTCCCTCAAACTAAACATACCTAAGTAAATTACCAACTCATTCAATGAAGAAATTCACAACTATTTTTTTTTAATAATAAATAATTTGTTATCTTTTAATTTTATTCACTCTTTTCATGACTTATACCATACTCCAATTCGGGTCAATGTAAGCGGCTCATATTGTGTGGAAATTGAGCTATTGTAAAAATTTTCATAAAGGTTTCGCCACCTATAGGCTTTTTAATGGCGCAGAGTATCAGAATATTTTTTGTAAAAAAATATTTTTTGCTTTTTGTTCAATACTGTCAGTAGGTAGTGTTTCAAATTTTTCAGTTCAATCAAAAAAAAATCAAAAAATCAACAGGGTTTTTCTACTTTGGTCCTAATGGAGTTTTTAATATTTTACGTGATACAAAGACTTCAATTTCACCCTCTCTCGTAATAATTAAAAAAAATGTTACTTAAACTCATCTTAGTTTAAATGGTCGTAAATAGGTAATTTGAAAAAGTCTTTCTTTCATATAATGCCTTCATCAAAGGGTTTTATCAAGAGCCTCAAAGTCGAAACTAGTTTTTAGTTGTGTTAGTAAGAAAATGCATTCTGTAATAACATTGAAGTAAACTCAGTAAGTGACTTTGAAGTTTCTCGTTCGTAAGTTTAAAAGTGAAACAATATCTTGCGAAACTCGTTAGAGAATTTTACGCCGATGTTCGTTGGATACCTATAGCGTTCCAGACAATGTTTTTGTCTTTAGGATCGTCTTTCTTACAAATACTTATACAACATTTTATATTATGCTAAATAATCGTGACACATACTTACGAGACATTTTTTGATGATTAATTTCTACTTTTATAAGTAAGTTGTAGTTTTATATAGTAAGTAGAGCCGCTCAGCCCATGCCAAGCTAGTAGATACAGCACTGAATGAAATCTGCCGGTTGATTACTGGTTGCCTAAAACCGACACCGGTACAAATGCTGTATCCGTTGGCTGGAATAGCGCCCCCAGAGATCCGCAGAGCCGTCGCGGCGTCCTCCGAGAAATCGGCCATGCTGAGTGACACACGGCACCCACTTTTCAATTACGACCCTGTGCCTCAAAGGCTAAAAAGCCGAAGCAATTTCGTAAAAAGTGTGTCCCCTCTCCTTCATGACGATCGGTCAAAAGAGAGATGCAGGTTATGGCGCGAGAGAGCTGATCTCCCCTGCCCTTTTGTCCCTATGTCTGAGAGTCCTCCACCTGGACATGAGCTCCCCTGGCTTACCTGGAAGTCTTTAAATAGACTTCGGACGCAGGTTGGCCGTAGTAAGGACAATCTGGCCAGGTGGGGATTCTTGGATGGCTTGAGCATGGAGTGCAGGTGCGGTTTTGTTCCCCAGTCGATGAAGCACCTGATGTCATGCCCTGAGTGCCCAAGCAACTGCACTCAGGAGGATTTGATGAGTGCTACTGACAACGCCACTCTTGTGGCGGAGTTTTGGGCTGACACTGTGTAGGTTTGTTGTCGACACGAAAAGAAGAAGAAGAAGAAGAATAGTAAGTTAAATACATTTTATGTAATGCACCAGGATCAGTGTAATTTTCCGCATTTGGACAACAACCGGAACGTAATATGTACGTAGAGCGCAGCGTGGGATGTCCACGCACAAGGTGGACCGAAGATCTCATAAAGGTAGCAGAAAGGCGCAGGTTGCTACCAACTGGTCAATCAGGAAATCATTGGCGGAGACCTATGTTTAGCAGTGGACGTACTTGTGGCTGAAATGATGATGATAATCATGATGGACAACTACTGACGACTATTTGTACCGAAGAGTCAACCGAAAACTAAATGACGAATTTTCCTGATGACTTTTTTTAGGAATCCATGTTTCTATTTCTATTCAATACACATTGATCAAAAATAATTCTTTCGACAAATAATGTTTTAGCGTCGTCCTTGACGTACTTCCGGCGGTAGTAAAAGAACGGATGTCCCAAAACGAACGCCTTTCTGAATCACATACGAAAGGCACGGAGATCAATTTCCGCTCGGAAAAATTTGGGAAACAAACTTTTCCAAATTGAGTTCTATGATACTAATACTAAGATGTTTTCTGGAAATGTATTTTTGCCGTTTTTCTCGTTCTGCCAAATCCTTCGGATTTTAAGAATCTGTGGGTTTTAGATTATCTAGAATTATACATATTATGTTATGTGCCTAGTGTGCTTTCTTCTTATTTGCTGGATTGTTACTTGCTTTGGACATGGCTTGGAGCCTTGGACTAGCACCAACTTATAATATTATGCTCACTGTAGCATGAAATCATAATTTCTTTTTGGACTTATCTTTGATAAATCCAGCTTCAAATTTCAGACGTCTGAATCGAAATAAAACTCGATTTAGCTTGAACAGCTCCAAGCCACTAACTAGATATCATCTGACCAGTATGAAATACCATAGTATTTCACAAAAAGCTTAAATTAGATACTTTTTTATAAAACACTAAATATAATTAGCAAAAAAATTAAATCATTAATTATGTATCCGAGACGCTCATAAATTTTGTTCAGATTGATGTCGGCTTAAACCTAATTAAAAATTATAACAAAGCCAGCCTGATTGCTTCGTTACTAACACAAAATACTTATAAGTTTCGCGTTCGTTGCTTTAATTATGTCATTAATTGAAAAAGTTAATTTGTTGCAAATTAATCATCTACCTTTGGATCCAAATCAATACAATTGTTACTTTATGGAAGTAACAATAATTGTATTAAATATTTCTCAAAAGTCGTGAAGTATTAAAATTTATAAGACTTGTATGATTTACTTACTTAAGAGAGGACTATAGTATCTTTTAAAACTGATATAATATGAGCAATAAGATTCAATCTAAAATAATAAACAGAAAAGGTAGGTTACGTTAGAGGCTGTGTGTCTTTATTTCATTAATTTATTTAATAAGCTGAACTTCCTAGAATTATAGTTATACCAAATAAATGGTAAGGGAAAAGTGGGTATTCTCTGTTACTACATAGATTAATGGTACGTATTTGTGTTTTGATTTATTACACACAAACCTGAATTACAAATCACAAACTTTTCCAATGCAGAAAAAAAAATTAAACATCAGAGAATCACTTACTGTATAGAGTCATGGTGCCTCGCCTTGCTGCCTCTCTTGTACAGCGTGCCAGCGGCCGCCGCTGCTGCCAGCAGCGCCAGCGCAGCCGCTGCACAGCCGCCAGCGACGAACAGCACGCCGCTTGACCCGCGAGAAGCGTCACCGGCTAAACGAGCGGTCTCGTTGTGCGTCACTACTGCTGACAGACCTAGGGAAAATGAATAAAAAATAAATTTCTTTGGACATTTTTACAATGACTTTGTTCCGGCGTTTCTTCTCAGCACTTGCCATAAATGTTTGTCTCGAAGGTAAGGCTGGTAGGGCCCAAAAGATAAGGAGACATGTAAAGTGCCCCATAATAATAAAAGAAAAGGTAACCTACCTTTTCTTTTTTATTATTTACTATATTTTGACGTTCATAAGAGCCACTTGTGGTCTAAACTGAATAAATATATTTGGACATTTTTACAATGCGCCATCTAGTCCCAAAGTAATCAAAGCTTGTACTATGGGTACCAGTCAACATTTTTGTTATAAATTATTAAGATAACACTGCCTAAATTCTGCTGCTTTACATATTGAATTTCTTTTATTTGTCACTTATGTGGTGTGATATAAAGAGAGAAGAGTGTGTTGAAAGACAAAATTTAAGTCTTTCCAATTGAGATTTTTAAATTATTATTTGAAGGCATTAATTATGCAGAAACAGGTTTGGTCTACTTTAAAGCGATGTAAATATGTTCACCACAAAATCACCCCCAAATTATTTATTTTCTATTATTAACTCGACATAAAAAATCCTTTTCACGCCTAATGATATTGGATGAAACCCACTAAATGAAATATTAGGGGTAATAGAAAGAAAAACTTCCCCCGAAGGTTGGAGAGGTAGGGCTGTAATATCGACATAATACGCCAAGGTATGTTGTAGTGTTGTCAGCCTTTCGTTAGCATCGATACAATTTATCGAGAAAATATCATAATAATTATGAATTAAATGGGTATTAAATAAGTGCAAACTATCAGGCATTAAATGAGTACAGCAATTAATGCAACCTATCGTAAGACTTACAAACTACACTCATTCTTGAAATCTACCTTCAAGCGGGCGCGCGGCGTCGAATCGACCGCGCCTAACACATTTTCGTTCATAAATTTTTTTTTACTTGTTACACATATTTATCATTTTTAGTAGCCTGTCGCTTGCTCATTGTGAGTGAAATAAAGAGCTTACCTTAGCTCTCCGCGCTTTTCCCACCCCATGGCTTGCTATTGTTTTAGTCGCGGCGCCGGCGTCGAAAGCACGCCACGCGCCTGTCGTCGAAAAGGTTACGCGCGACTCTCTATGCGATATAACATTTCTTCGGCTATCACCCAATATTATTGAATTAAGCTTGCAATACTGTTTTTTCTTATTAAATAAGTCGTAGACTGCTAGTACAAAGTGAAATTAATAACAGAGGCATTACTACGAAAAGATGAAAAAGAGAGTGGATCGGAGCTCAGAGACCAAGCAAACTGAACCAAAATTATAAAATTATGTTTTATCATTATTTTGCCATTTTTATCGTTTTTACCAAGTATATGAATTATTCTGAGGTATTTTAAAAGATTTTTTGTTCCAAAATTAGTTTTTGATCCAAATAATATTTGCGTTATTTTAATTAATTAAATAATTGTTTCTTTAACTTAATTCAAATTACTTATGACTTTAATACAATCATAATATATCTGCGTACAAAATAATAAATGATTATTGGAAAATAAGTGCTTTATTTCTCTACTAGACCCTATAGGTCTTTTCGTTTACGCGCGACCGCTGCCGTTACAAAAGACCGCGCGCCCGCTTGAAGGTTAAAAGTACCTACAGTAATTTTAGACTGAAAATATCTTCTTACATACTGAAATGTAAGTGACTGACGCCAGAAGTTGTTAAAACATTTTTATATTAGGTAAGATATGAATCCTTTGTGCGCGATTTATCGATGATTGTCTACAACACTAGGGTTGTACTTCACTGAACCTTTTATTAAAATCCCACCCCAATTTTTACCCCCTATAAAGCCTTCTAAAGATATTAGTTGAACGATTAGCATAGCAACGATTCAAATTAAACGTAAAAATGCGATAAGAATATTCCTTTTGAAGTAGGCACCTATATTTTTTATCTTGGTTCGTTAGCTAATTGTATGCAAACGTTAGTTAGCACTTTAAATTAAAAACGCGTTTGATTAAAGGTTTGAATAAAAAACTTCAACATTAAAAAAATTAATTCAATCAAGTTAATCATTTGAAAAATATGTCTAGATGAGTTTCATGTTAGAAAAAACCAAAAATAATATTTTTCTTTACTAAAAAGCAGAATTGAGAGAAATATTACAATTTTTAACAGAGATTCTTACTGAAAAGCTGAAAATGAAACGTCATATTTAAAACGTCTTCATAAAAAGCCGAGTTGCCATTCATTTGTCATCGGGCAAAGCCTTAAAAAACCATCCATCGGTCTTAAAAAAGGAGAAAACGCATAATAACAACGCACTTAACGCTCCGAAGGGAAACAAGAAATTTCCAAGTCAAATAAAAGTATAATAGAACAATCGATACTTCCTTGTAAACACATTAAGATGAGGGGCGCGATTAGGGTTGCCAGTAACGCAAAAATATTATTTATTATTCTGAAAACTAAACGAACGAAACGTACTATTATTTTTTTGTAAATTAACAATCTCAAATTAAGCAAAACTTGAAGTTTTTTGTAAATATACTGAGGTTTACTGAGTATCATACCAAAGCTAGTAGAGTAAATGCCCCGTGTGACATATAGTATGTATTATTATATTTTAGTCCCGTTGTTCTTCTTTTTCATTTTCTTTTTGTATCAAATAAAGTTTCTCTTATCGTATTTTATCTTATTATAGAAAACAGCATCAAGGTAAACTTTTGGATTCCTAAGTAGTTGGAATAGATGCTATACTTATTGCAACAAAAACTTGGCACTCTATATTTAAACAAATCAATGTCTTTTTCACATAAGTATTTTGTTTGACCCTTAAATCAATGTCTTTTTCCGATCTGTATTTCATTCTTCCCTTTTATCTTCCAAATGCAAGTGGCAGCCCTAGCCAAAATCCACAAAGGCACCCTCCATACGTCTCTATCCCGAATATCCTGTTGCGTCTGCATGCTAATAAAGAATTTCCACTGAAGTCCGTGGAGTGAGTCAACAGTTACAGGGAGATGCAGCGATTTGTATTTTATGAGTTGTTTTGATTTTACGTCGTCTAACTTGCTGTGTTGTTTTAAACAGTGTATAATAAATGATGTGACAAACGATACGTAATTCTCATGTGTTTTTTTATTAGAAAACTTTTTTTATTGTCTCTTGCATTGAATTTGAAAGTGTTAACTTTGCTTATTATACGTCTTTCTTTGTATTTTCAAACTCAATCCTGGTTTTAGACTTCACTAAATGCCACATGCTTTCAAAATAGCTCGGTTAGTTTTTTTAATATAAAAAAATCGTAAAATGTTTTTTACACAATCGACAAGCTTGCTATTACCTGAACAATCACATAATATTTAAATTACAATTATGTGTACAAATCAACATAATCATTAACCCCTTTATAAAGTTTACCTTCCGTACAAAACAACTACCACAAGAAACAGTTAAGTGCTTAAAAGTTCTAAAAGTTACATAGTGGTAAAGCCAACACAAATAAGCAACAAAAGTAGTCAAAGTTTAAAAACAAGTAACTTAATAAAAACCATTAAACCGAGCCGTTTCGCGGCCAATTCTGGAGTGTTTCAAAGGACATTGTCAGAAACCGCCTAAAAAACCGCCCAAAAACATTAACCCATCATAATTATTTTCTATTTTTTTTAATACATTAAGCACCCTTTCATTCTAATGGACACTTAAGCATTGAAAAATTAAATAAATAAGTCTTTTAACGTTTATTCTATAATACTATTACAACTTCCGGACGTTTTGGTGCGTGGCATGGTCTAAAACCTATCAAGTTCCATAATTTTTGCCGATAAAATCTGTACGAGGCATTACCGTACTTTATTGCTGGGAGTCCATGTATAGTGATGTTCCTGCGGCCATCATAGACAATAAAATATCGATTTTGAAAATAAAATAAATCGATTAAACTGCTTTGAAGAATAGATTTGCGTTAAAAGCTAAAAAGATATTGACACTATTACAAGAAGCTATAGTTCCAAAATACTGGACTGTCCTGTCGATGACATTGACAGTGGGGCGCCACCGTCAATACCGGATCGCTGGTTCAGATTTTTGCCATGTTGGAAACCATATAGTCGAACGATGGTAGCGCCCCCCTGTCATTGAGTTTGGCGGGAC